TTTATTAGGGTACTATAAGCCCTCCCTTTCCAACGAGGATTTAGATTCCTTCTAGGATTCCAAAACTATTATTTTAAAAGTCATTCTTTCAAAGGTCCACAAAAGAGTTTGTTCATTGCAGAACAATTTTTATGAGAGCATGGTCTGATTTAAATTATGGTTACTAAGTGTTGTGAGTTTTTTGATTATATTCTAGTCATCTATTCTTGGTTTTATGTTAGTACATAATATTTGAATGAATCCCTGACATTTCTGCTCTTTACCATGTAAAGTTTGTTGTTGAGTTAGAGAGTGTAATGAAATCTTTTTTTCAGTTTAAAAATCTTGCCTTGGTCATATGGGTTGGTGATTGACAATATAGCTTTTCAACAACACGACTATTTTTTCCCTCTGTGTAAGACACATAGAGACATATGTCCCTAAATTCTTAGCAATTGCCTTGATCGTGTGACTTGCTTTCGTCTATAGGATGTGCACACTGAGGAGCTCCTTCTGTTTGGAGATACTAACAGTCACCTTTGTCACATTCTCTATTGCCCCTGCCATTGTGACAGGTGAAGCTCTAGATAACAGCTGCTCTGTCACCCAAGGTCCTCTAGTAATAGTGATGATCATTACTAATTAGTAATTACTAATTATGAATGTACAGTAATCCACAAAGGATATCTGAAACAAACCAGAAGTAAACTTGTGTAGCTATGAGCCCTTTTGATGGTTGGTTGTGAGGTTAGCCTTGCCTTGCTGGCCCATCTGGATCAATACAGCAGTGGAAAATCTGCTAAAGATATTACACAAGCCCAACTTCCAAAAAACCATTTGTCAGACCTCAGTATAATGGTGGAGCTGCTGCTGCTACTGATTCATTCGTTCACTATCAACCTGATTTTTTAGTTTTTAATAGCGTGACCGGTCTTTTAGGTATAAGAAAATACCCATGAAGTCAGAGCCTTTGACAATAATGACCATGAATGTGCTTAAGTGATAAAATTATTATGTATTGGAAATTTCTTTCTACCGTTAACACTTATGAAGGGAAGTCAATTTTCACTCAAATGAGTTTCTTTTTATCTGGTTTTCTCTACAGTGTTTGTGCCTGAGGTTTATTGCTAGCAGTAAAGAGTGTCCAAGTATGTTATGGGAATAGCCAAATTCCCGGTGCTTTAAAATGTATTCCACAGGCCCCAGAGTCAGTTAAAAGCTGATTGATTATACAGCAAATACATCAAAATGGGTATTTATGAAATATCCCATTTCTTCAGCTCTATCTCTTATAAGCATGAACATTACATTTGGGAGTTGTGGTGCAAATATCTCAGACAGCCAGGGGAAAAAAAAGTACTAGAAATTTTCCATGACAGGGAAAAGGTTTCTTTAGCTGTTCAATCATTTAACAAAATGTCTGTGTCAACTGGTACATCACATGAGGAAACAGTTTCATAGGTATGGCTTGAGCAGTTGAGTGTGGCTTATCTATTCTGACTTTCATAATGAGTGCACCAAAACAGGTTACCTGGATGGATAAAGGATAGATATTGTAAATGAATGTTCACATGGATTTTTTTTTATCTGACTAGCTTATAACTGACAGAAAATTTCTGTTCAGCTTGTTCAATATTTGGGCAGAAAGTTCTAGCTAATGAATGGAAAATGACCTATTAGATATGGTCCACATCAAGAATGCTTCATATATTTCATGTTTTTAATTTGAATATATTTTCAATGACTAGTCATTTATTATTATATCTTCTCACTTCGTTTGGTATAGTCTATCTTAGATTACAAACTCAAGTTTCTTTTCACTATATGCTGATATTTTACAAGACTGTGCTAGGCACTATTCCCTGGAGGAGACATAGAATGTCCAACTGCTATGAAACACAGTGTCTTGCAAATCATAACCCTTGCCTTTCAATGACACCAGCACTAAGAACATTCTCTGATGTAGATTATACATGGCAGCTAGCTTTACTAAGTGCTATGCTACAGAGAAGAACTCAATAAATATATTTGGTGATTCATTGATAACTATAGAATACATCAATTTGGATTTTAGCTGAAGTCTAGGAATTCTGAGAAAAATTTTAAAACCTGAAGGGGGAAAATAAGCATATTGATCAATGATTGTTAGATGTGAAATGTATATTACAGGTCTGAAAGGGTAGCATTTCATTTTTGTGACATTGAGGTCACCAAAACTCTTGCCTACCTGTTTCTGAGGACAAAAGAGAGTTTAATCCAACATTGAAAATAGTATTGTTGGCAGATTACCCCCAAAATGATTTCAGACCATTTATACATAATGAATTGTGCAAGTTTTCTCTCTTTATGAGGTATGTTTTGACTTCTGCTATGGGAATCCCTATGGTTCTGTGGACTTGTCTTAAAACAGTGCTGTGGCCTGAGCTTGGACCTCTCCCAGAAAATGACATGGTCGAAGTTACAATGACTCTCCTTCTCTATTGGGTATACAACTCTGGATGGTCAAGCACAACTTTGAACCTAAAGAGAGGGCTGTGCTGCTCCTGGGTTCCCCATTCTTGCACATGCCTGAAAGACTAGTTCCTTGAGGAGGTAAAAATAGTCCCCTGTCCTTTGGGTGGGAGCTGAAGAATCCATGTGAGGAGCAGGCCTTTCATCAAGGCTTCCCACAGTGCATACCACTGAATTAGATTTGTGCATGCTGCAAGCTATGGACAAAGCGCAATATCCTGGAGATAAGCCATCACTTTCTGTGTGTGTCTCATGCTATTCCCCACTTGGGTCTCATCAACCACAAGACTCCTAAATAGAGAGAAGCCGCTGACAAGCGCCTCTCCTGCTACCACATGCTGCCAATGTTGCCTGGAGAAGAGCAGAAACCGAGACTGAATAAGTTGGGTGGTTTGGTTTTAATGTTTTTTTATTTTCTCCCTGCTTTGAAAGCTCACTGCATTTTGCTGCTGTTATTACCAAGGGTTCATTGAAAATGAAACTTGGGTGTCTCAGTGGGGTTTTGCAGCAAACAGATAAAGCAGGTTCAAGCAAAACAGGGTCGTTCACAATCCGAAGTAGATTGAGCAGTAGCCATTTGTTTGCTGGGGTGAATGGGGCGTAATTTATTCAGCTGCAGCAGAGGCTGAAAGCCAATCTGGCCATGACCCATTTGTCTTTAGAAAACTAATTAAAGTGGAGAATTTGGTTTACTGTTGTTAGTGAGATTGGACTTTTTCCTTTTCAGGCTAGGCAGAGGCAGATTGTGTGTGTGTGTGTGTGTGTGTGTGTGTGTAAAATGGGAAATATCAGTTTCACCTAAAGACAGGGACTGAAGTGCTAGATAATAAAGCAGTTTTTAAACACAGCCTGACATCTTTTTGAAATGCAAAAGAGTGGATTTAGCCGGATGAGGGATCCTTTGAGGTGACAATGAAATGCCATGGCAATTTACAAGGAACAACAGACAGTGTTCTGCACCCTTAAAGCAAGACTTCTTAAATCACACCAAAATGGACCCAAATCAGCCTGAAAGGACAGCATTATGACTTGAATTTTTACTCTGAAACTGGTATCAACACTGAGATGGGAAATAATGCCAGAATGTTAGTTGCTTTGGCATTTTCTTTGAGAACAACATGCAGATCCTAAAGGGATTTTTTTTTTCAAATACTTAATTGATATGTGATGTTATTAATAATCTATTTGTGACCAATGACATACCAGTGGATTTCAGAAGTTGCAGTGAGTTTCTGAAGAATCACATCCAACATAGACGTTGAGGGTTTTTTGGCATAAAGAGTGCGGGAAGACAGAGAGGTTCAGTCACCTTGCGGATGAGATTGAGATCTGCATTCATCTCCATCTGCTCGAGAAGTTGTAAGTCTTGGGAGAAAGCTCTCAGGGTCATGATAAGCATCAGATGAACAGAGTCTACTGGCTCACCTGCTAGAATCTCTCGAGTTCCTGGGAAAATGAATTGGGAAGGGTGGGAGCCTTCTTTCTGAACCGGAGCTGCTCTGCCTCTTAGGTGGGTCACACAGCACTCCAGCTTGTCCCATCCCAGTCCCCATTCACAGCAAGGCAGCCTGAGCTCTCTGCCTGCCCTGTCTCTTCCTTGAGGTCTTCCCTACCAGAGCGTCCCTGTTCCTGATTTGCCTCTTCACTGTCTGTCTTCACCCAAACGTCCCTGGTCTCAGAGAACTGCAAGGATGAATGGGGCGACCTCTCGAGGGACAACGTCCTTTCAGATGAACGAATTTTGGCCCAGTCCTACCATTGTCAGGATTAACGACCAGGCTGACATAGATCACCATGATGTCACAGGTCCATGATGCTGTACAGGCCTTCATTAAGGAGCATTGTTGCTATGGAATGATATTTGAATACCAGGTTAGGTAGCTGTCTCATTATTTTGGTTAACATGAAGAGTCAAGTGATAAAACCCAAGAGTTCTTGTCTTTAGTCCCAATACAAACCATTTCAAGTTAAAAACAAGTAACTGCCTACATGCTCTAAAAGCAATCAGTAATTCATGTGGGAAAAAACGAGTCAACAACCAATACCACAAGCTCTTTCTTAGCCCCCTAAATTCTCCTTGTCTCAGCTAATAGAAAAATTAGCTTCTTATGCATGAGAACCGATGTTGGTTTATTCTTATTGTTAGGTAATTATTTGCTGTACACAGAAAGAAAAAAGGCCAATATATTCTATCAGGAAAGAGCTGTGTTTTCAGGCCTAGTACACATAGTCTGAATGCTGGGCTTGAATTCCAATCAGCTACCAAATGAGCTAGCCTTGCACGGAGATTAGATTGAACACTTGGCCATGGGGAAAGAATATCAACATGGATGTTAACCATCAACACCAAGCAGAGGGGAAACTCCTAACCAAGCCGGCCATACACAGCACTCGATTCACTCTGGGTGATTTCAGAAGGGAGAGTGGAGGTGCGGTTTCTCAGAACTCTCCAGGAAGATTGCACAAAGACGAATGGGAATGAGAGGAAGAATAAGAAGGCTGATGCTTACACTGTGCTGCATTGTCCTCCACACAGTCCTCTGGGAAGCAGGAGGAAAACACATTTAAAGGAAAAAGAAAAAGATTATTCTATGCACAGTAGCACAGCACAGGTATAAAGCTTAGCGTTGCAGGTTGGCATTCCACCCACCCTCACCCCAGTGTCCCTCCGATGAACAGTAGCCTATCCACACACAGTGCCTTGTCGAATACTTACTGGAGATATGTGGGTCTATACCATTGCCAACTTGATGAGTTCACTCTCAACTCTGGCTTTTTTTTTAAACTTACTTTCATAGAATGTATTTCTCCAAAAAATAAACAATGTAAAGTATATTTTTTGCTCTAATGAATCAGCTTGAGTAATCTAACAGATGCTCCCTGTCCAAGGACAGTCCTGAGCTCTATAACATGTTGTGCTTTAATTTTCTGAGATGTGCAACTAATTGCCTTTTACAGAAGATAATTTGAAATACTTCTGTGTGCTCAGATCTTAAAAATTGAGCTATTTTGTGCTGGTTTATTTTTACACTTGATAGTTCTACTGAATTGGAACTATCTTTTAAAAAAATCATAGTTTTACATTAAAGTATTTAAGAGAATTCAGAGTACAAATTTAAGAGAAGGGGGAAGAGATGAGGTACTTGCTAAGGGCCAATACTCACCCCTGGGCCATTTAACTGAAAATTATGAACAGTTGGCTCAGGCAGAAGGGCTGCAAAGGTGAATGAGGGAAATGGAGCCAACTCAAGATGGTAGGCTCAGGGTGTTATACAAATTAGTTAATGCATTCATGGCCTCAACAGAGTGTGGCTTTGGGCAGGAAGGAGTGTGATATCCTCAGATGAGTGGACCTTCCTTTAGCAGCTGAATTTATACAAATGTATTCATTTATTCCTCGATTCCAAAAATCACTTTAGGATAATAGGTTTGACAGCTACTGACCATTTCAACTGCCTCTTATGGCCATATAACTTTTGAAGAACAAATGGAAGTGTTTCCTGGTGATACAAAAGAATTTACACATTCTTTCTAAATATAATAAGAGTTTCAATAATGGGATTGATGCATTTTTAACAGAGTTATGCTCTTAAATGTTTTTATACAAGTTTTAGCAATAGTTTACCCAGCTTGGATTTGGGAGTTTGATTTCCAAAACAAATCCCATAACTACCAGTTCACATAAAATACAGTTTGACAATAACTGCTGTAAGAAAACATTTACCAACAGATCCCAAAGTTAATGTCACAGATACTAACTTAAATGGGACTCAGATTAGCTCTCCAAGAGCTTTATAGTGAAGTTCTTTTCATTTTGGCAAAATGGGGTGGGGTGACTGTAGAATTCTTTTGATGCTGTCCTTTGAAGCATTTTCTCTGCTGAAACAGATTAAGGGAAATCTTTTCTAGTTATCCTCCTTTTCTGAGACATGTGCTTCTTAGAAATATGCAGGAAACCTCTTTTCAGGGGAAAACTCAAACAGAAGTAGGTAACATGAGCCTTGTTTATAAACAGTTGAAATGGGTTGTAATGGATGGCAGACCCATCTGGGGAGCTCACCAGGCAACTCTGGAAGAGGATGGCATGTGACAGCTGCAATGCTCTGGCTGGCCAGAGGTGACTCCTCCGTTGTTCACTGTTTGAACTGGGAGAGCCTCAGCCCATACAGGGAAGAAAGCCTTGGGGGAGCCAAGGGCCATGAACTGAGCCTCTGATACTGGCTTCAGCAAAGCTCGTTTCTCCAAGATAACCTTAGTACAGCTCCTTTTGATGTGGAAACAGTCCTTAGCTCTTCAGAGCTGGGGAAAGTAGCTCCAGGTGGGCTTAGGACTGGCTATGAATTACAAATCTCTAACCCGCACAATTTGGGAAGGGATCAGAATGTAATTCAGTAAAAATGGATAAAACTGCAGTTCTCACAGAGCCCAAAGCCACGTCTTTGAGGAAGTAAATATTAACTACTGTCAGAGAATGTTTTAGAATTAAATTGGCCTATTGATTGAATACCTCTGTGCTGGGTTTGATCCTTGATTTTTACTCATGATCAGATGATTAACCATTACCAACTATTTTTGGAAAAAAAAAAAGATTGATTAAAGTTTAGATTTCGGATGTGCATAAAATAGGGAACGCTGTGTCAATCTGCTATCCACCACAACTCTTTAAGATCCTTATATGTGGGGCATTTTGAAGATTACCAATGAAATTCTTTTATAAAAGATTAAAATTCCAGTTCTCATGTCTACAAGGTTTTAAACATCATTTAAGTGTGGATGCTTTATTTAGGTTTGCTAAACTGCACAAATATTGTCTGGAGAAACATTTTTCAAGGTCTACTTCTCCTATTTAAGGGCAGGTGTTCATTTCTCCTGGTGATGACAAGAAATTGCTCGTCTGTTTCAAAGGGGAAAAAAGGAACCAGTTGTCATATATATATATATAGTTATATTGTTCAAATGCTGTGCAATTCTGACTAAATGCATAACGTCCTTCCTTTTTTTAAAAAAAAATTTGTCTTATTGTGGCAAGTACAATTACTATGAGCTCTAACTTCTTAAGAGAGTAAGTGTAGAACACCGTATTGGTATTTTAGGTACAACGTTTTACATCACCTTAATGTTGAACCCTAGTTCTTAGGTTGATTTTATGAAAAATTGGAAAAGTCAAAATTGTTCCAATAATGGAGTTAAAACCAACTATAATGGAACCAAAAAAAAAAAAAAGGACTAAACTTATACTCACCCTTTCTACTGCTGGTTAAAGAGAGATGGAAAGCCATTTGTATAGGAAAACACAAACAACAGAATCTAAAGAGAGCTATATTTAAACAACTGGCAACTTGTTCATTTGTTTAAAAGAAAAAATGTTGACTAATTCAAACTTTTCCCGAAACCGTGATAGGAAATGGATATAAACAAGGTAAAGTTGAAGGTTGAAGTGATTACAGATGTTTTTAAAGTTACACTAGATGGAGGTTTTATTTGCTAATAAATGATAATAAATTTATAGCATAATTTAGCAGCTAACGACTCAAGCTAAGCCCTTTGAGACTTTGTGTTTTAAGTACATTTGATTTTTTATAGAGAGAAAGGCTTATATACTTACATTGGGGCCAAACTCAACCAGTTTACTCTTATGAATTCAACAGTGTAGAAAGATAGTAACTAAAATCCTGAAGTAATTCATAACAATTAATAATTACTAATTAAAATATTTTCATAACCTGCAGTCCTTGAGATCTGAGTTTATATGACATGATCAAATGTGGTTCAAGTGCTTTATGACTTTAAGATTTTTACCTATTAATATTACTTCAAGATAACTAGTAAAGAAACAACGTTAACATTAGTAACAATTACAGGTATATAAATCATTTATAGTACTACAAATTGAATAAGTTGAGTTGAAAATAGGCAGTATTTTTGTGAAATTACAAGCTTTTAATTTTTATAGCCAAATCTGTTTTTAAAAATGCATTCAAAAATTATGTTTATTTTTGTTGTATTATCCAGGTAAGTTGCTTTGGTGATAGATAGCATTCAGTCCCCAACACACATTCAGATGTCTCAAAGAGTAAATATTTCTAAGGATTTCAACTTTTAAAAGAGAAAATATAGTGGTAACATTGATTTGGGTTTCTTAGTGAGATCTTTCAAGCAGAAAATTTTATATATAAAGAGAAGTCATACTGAAGTTACACTTTATCATAGCTGAATAAATAACCACTCTAAGAAAAAAACTAAAGCAGATGAATAAGAAATGGGCTCTTATAATTACATCTCTGAAAGAAATGCTAACTTCCTCTTCAAATTAATATTTCAGAAGAAATATGAAATTGGAAATTTGGTCACTGCCAGAGTGAATGAATAGTTATAAAGGTTTCTTAAATAATCTAATTCGTGACCTCAAAGAAAGACCCCATTACTTTTGAGGGTTCAAATTAAGGACAGGAGCAGATATAAGAATGAGATGACTTTTATAACCCAACTTTTTCAGAACTGTGGACTTGTGTTTGAAGAATGACTTTGGTGAGAGAAAGTGGTCACTTTGGGCATTAATCTGAAGTACTCACCAACCGGTCCAAGCTTGTGCCTGCAGCAGTTGTTGGTCTTTCCTCCGGATTATAGGGCCTGAAACGTGTATTGAAATTTTCAGGAGCTGAGCGTGCAGATCTGAGAGCTGGAGCAGGTTTGGGCTGGCCACATCCCTGAAAGACCTGAAAGAACCATTGAACGGTTAAGAAAGGTACACCATGCATTCCTACAGTCGTGGTGCAGAAGTGTGCAAGGCAGTCAGTGGTTTTTACATTTTCATGGAACTCTTAAGTCCAGTCAACACTAATTTTAAAATTTAAATAAGTTCAACTACCAATATAACAGAGAAAATTAGCCAGACAGAAATAGAGTGACGCGCTTTCACCGTATAGGTTAATCCTCATTATTTCCAGATTCTGCATTTGTGAATTTGCCTGTTAACTGAAACATATTTGTAACCCCCAAATCAATACTCATAGCATTTTCATGGACATGGGCAGAGGGCTAAAAAGTTTGCATTATCTGATGTGTTTGTTTCCTCCTTGTCTGTCGTCCCTTCAGCGTCTATATTGTAAATAAGTGATCTCTTTATGGTCTGTTTAGTAACATTTTCCAGATTTTTGTGCTTTTAAATTGGTGTTGTCACTACTGGAATGCTCCTCGACCCCTTCTCTGCTCTCTCTACCCTAGCATAGGGTTTAAGTTCCGTCCGGTGCTTCTGGCAGAAGGATGTGATGTGTCTTGTAGAGAAAGATATGTGTTAGATAAACTCGATTCTTGCCTAGGTTTAGTGCTGTGAGTTCAATGGTAATGACTCAACAATATATACTAAGTAAGATGTCTTTAAACAGAAACACGCAAAAACAAGGTTAGAGACTGATGTGTGGATGAAAATGTTGTGACCCTTGGCCTACAGGAGTCCAACCCTGCATTGCCCAGAGGAAGTGGCTCAGTGTTTGCTAATTCAATATTTGCATCTACTTCATAGAACATCACTACAAAAAATAATGAGCATCAACTGCATTAAAATTGAAAATTGTAATAATTACTTCAAAGGATGACTTCAGGATTAAAGGAATGTGTTCCAGACACTTTCATGTACTTGACTTTGGTATTCAATAAGCATCCAATTGGGATTCTTGTTATCGTGACAAATGTATTCCTTGTATAGCATATAAGGCCAAATAATCTGAGTGACTCCCCCTTGAATAATGAAAACCTCTACTGGAAAAATTCTTTGAAAACCCCCTCTTGAGCTACAGTGTGGAAATAGGACAAGTACATGTGGATGGAATCCATATAATGACAGTTTCTTCTAATTTTGTTGTTGACAGCTGTTCATGTCACAATTAGGGTTGCTGTGGGAAATCAAACATTTCATTGTAATGATCTTAGGGACTGAGTTGCCAGCTCTTTTCCACAGTGATTTCACTCAGGGTGGTGTGGAACGCTCCCTTTACTCATTTTAGAAACTTTCTACTCTATGCTAGTTATGAAGCGTTGAGACCTTTACTAGATTGACAGGAAACATGTGTCTTTTTCAGGAGATCTTGATGAAGTTCAACTTCTCGTTACTTTCTATTTGCATGTAGGAGATCATTCTTCTCCTAGATACTAGTAAATTTATGCAAAGGAATTTTTTTTTAATCTTTAATTTTGTTCATTTGAGAAGTGGAGAGACAGAGTAGCCAGACAGAGAGCTCTCATCCGCTGGTTTACTCTGTAGAGTCCCTAAACAACCAGGGCTGAGTGAATCCAAAGCTGGGAGCCAATCAAGAGCTCCCTCATGGGTAGCAGGGACCCACGTACTTGAGCCATCCTCTGCTGTCTCCCAAGGGTGTGGTTTCAGCAGGAAGCTGGAGGTCAGGAGTGGAGCCAGAGAGGATACCAAACTCAAGTTCTCTGGCATGGGTCGTGGTGCCCTAATCAGTGTCTTAACTGCGGGCCCACGCGGACCAATTCTTAAATTGCACGAGTGTGTTTACCATGCGTTGGTTCCAGTGTTGTTATTTGATTCTGTGGTGCTTACTCATTTTTCATCATGCATATTATGCGGCTGTACTGAAGTGTACTGACTTCTCGAGTGCCTTTCCCGATGACAGATTCCATCTTGAGACACAATGCATTCTGTTTTACCACTGCAGCTAATTTCTCTTTGGTTGTATTCAAAAGTTCTCCTTCAACTCAGCATTTTGCAGTTCAAGAGTACTCTGTCTTGGCATTCTTGGAGATTGGTCTTAACACACTATTGATTATTCTTCTCTCACGCAGTTCCTAAAGCTGATGGTGTAAACCAGTCGTGATGAAGATAGTGGGCCCTTTTCTCCCTGGTGCCTAAATCGCTTCCCCGTGGCAAGGTCGTTGCTGATGGAGGGCATTAACATTTCCAGAGCTCCAGGGATCTGTTGAGTGTGCTATTTTGGATTGCTTTGAAAATGACAGCTGACTTTTAAAAAGCGTAAAGCCTAAGGCGAAACAATACAAATGGCCTTGCTGAGATCTCATAGAGCGGGCACTGAAAGAGTTAATGGGCTCTTCTAATTTGCTCTCTGGGAAAAAAATCTGGCTGCTGAGTTAAGTTAAATCAAAGAAACACAGAATGCCCTGAAAGAATATTAGTGTTCAGGGGAGGTGTATCTTTCGTAACAGAAAAACTTACCATTCGCTTGATTTTTAAATTTCTTTCACTTTGTTTTGGAGGGTGGTGTTATAGTACAATGTAGGCTGATTGGTATAGTCTGATATCTTGGGTATTTGTCATAGCAGTTAAGCTGCTGCTTGGGATACTCCCATCCATGTCAGAGTGCCTGGGTCTGAGTTCAGGAAGATTCCAACTTCCAACTAATGCACACCCTGGAATGCAGCAGGTGATGGCTCAAGTACTTGGGTCCCTGCCACCCACATGGGAGATCTGGATGGAGTCTCTGGCTCCTGGCTTTGCCCTGTCCCAGCCTTGGCTGTTGTGGGCAGTTGGGGAGTGAACCAGTGGATGAGAGACCTCTACTATGCCTCTAAAAAATAAAATAAATTATAAATTTAAAAAATTAAAAAAAAACATAGCCAAGTAGCATTCTGCTTCTTACTTTGAGTTCAGTTCCGAAATTGCTGAGTCTGAAACAAGATGATGAAAACACTGACTTCTAATTATTTTGTAGATAGCACTTAACTCTATAATCTGGTGGAAACCTACAGAAAGATCTGTTAAAATTGATGGAATAAGGACATAAGCCTCAGCCATTTTAGCTCTTTGCCTGAAAGAAGATAAAATTCCCTCTACCCCTTTACCTCTCTCTTCTTCCAGGAGACTACCAGTTCAGTTACACACAAGTATTGTTACCCACCCCACGCCCAGCATTCTTTTCCAGGTTTGAAAGCCCATGAAAAACCTGTAAGAAATAGCTCACCTCCACCCTTTTTTCCTCCCCTTCAGACCCTTAGCTCACCCTAAGCTATGTAAGACAGCCTGTTGGAGGGCTGTGCTGTCTGCCACGTGTTCAGTCTGTGTGCACCCTGGCAGTCAGCCACTTGTACGAATTCATTTTTCTTGAATAAATTCGTTTTGGCTGTGAGTTCATATCCTGTCTCCTCTCCTTTCTGTTCCTCCTTTTCCTTACAAAAATAACTTCATATCTTCCATACTCTTCAGAAAAAAGAATCGTCATAAGAGAAAACCTGAAGTGTGTAGGTTGTAGGCCTGGGGATCAGGGCTTCTGTACCAGAATTTCACAAAACACAGAACAATGGCCAAGCTGTACCTGAGCATCAGCTCCCCTGCTTCTGCTAGGGGATGATTAAATGCTCCTGTATTAGTCTCGCACAGAGAATAAATCTTCAATAACACCTATCCATCGTGTAACTAAGACAAGTTACAAAGGGAAAATTAATGATATGATTTTTCATTTATGTGTTGTGGTGTGAGCATGTGTGTGTTGGCCCTAAACTCTGAAGTAGAAACTTAATCACAGCATACTGGACTGAGAGATGGATCTTGCGGAAGTGGTTAGGTTATACCCTTGTGAACAAGCTTTGTGCCCCTCTAAAAGAGGGCCCTGGGAGCTACCTTGCCCTCTGCTGACACGAGCACACAAGGAGCAGGTGTCACGCACTAAGTGCCTCGTAGGCCCTCACCAGTTAGTAAGTCTCCTGGCGTTTTGCTCCTGGACTTTCAGAACTGTGAGAAATAAATTCCTGTTTGTAAGCTACCAAGTTTATGTCATTTAGTTAACAGACGAAGAAAACATACAGTCTGATAGCTGGAAAAATACTGGGTTCATGAAGCCTGGGGCACAAGGAAATCTAGTGCAGAAATTTGGGGCTACTGCAATTTTCTGAGTTGGCTATAGCAGTGGTCTAGTTTGGTAAAGGTTTATGGCTCCCAGGGGCCCCAGGGCTAGGTTGATACAAAGACCAATGAGGAGTCAATGCTGTGGGAAATGGGTAAAGCTGCCACCTGTGATGCTGGTATCCAATGTGGGAGACCCCGATGAAGCTCCTGCCCCTGGCTTTGGCCTAGCTCAGTCCTGACCATTGAGGCCATCTGGAGAGTAAATCAATGGATGGAAGATTCTTTCTCTCTCTCTCTCTCTCTCTCTCTCTCTCTCTAACTCTGACTTTTAAAATGAATAAAAAACAATGAGCCTTTTCTCTGATGGCTTGAGTAGCCCCCAATTTAATACTTTGAATAAGGAAAGAAACAGTTGAAGAACGATGTGAAGTCAAAGGACTTAGTTAAGTGAGAATCAGTTAATTAGTTGCCCAGGCCTAGAAATAGAAATTTAGATCATTAGCCTAAAAGGTAGTATTTAAAGCCCTGAAACTGGCTTTAAGTAAACCCAGGGGAACTCCATAGATAGGTGGCAGATGGATGGAGTGGAGGCCAGCACAGTAGGACGAACATTATTCACCAGACAGACATGCTGTGATGATAACACATGAGGCAGGAAAACAACCCAGCATCAGAAGAGTAAGTGCTCGATAGTAATGAAGTATATCACTTTATACTTTGTAATTTCTAGAAGTTGTGTTTTTTTATTTATTTTTTTTTATTTTTTTATTTTTTTGACAGGCAGAGTGGACAGTGAGAGAGAGAGACAGAGAGAAAGGTCTTCCTTTGCCGTTGGTTCACCCTCCAATGGCTGCCGCGGCCGGCGCGCTGCGGCCGGCGCACTGCGCTGATCCGATG